ATCGAAATTCCGAGGACGCGTCCGGTAGATATATTTGTATATTGTTTTTTTTCTTCTCTAAGATGCGATACGAACAACTAATTTTGAGTTACTCGGTTTAATTTCCTATGAACGATCACACTTCGCACAAGACACTTAAATGAACAAGTTCTTCATGGGTCGTCACCGGGCGAAAAATAGCGTTGACTTCCGAATGGAACTCATGCCCTCGCCCTACTTGGATTGTTGGTGCGGGGTCCCTACAATATATCGTCTCCGACGACACCAACGGCCTCAACGACGAAATCGCGGATACTGCGAAACTGTCCAATCGGCAACTGGGCGTGGAGCCGACCGCCAAATCCGAGCCCGGCGCACAGTGGATCGAGTCACAGGGAGAAGCCAGACAAAATTTGGAAACTTTAAACGCTTGTAACTCCCTTTATACAAAACTTTGAAGTTCTGAAAGTGAGACCATTGGTTTTCTCGTGAAATTTTCTTCAAGAACCACCCCTCAAAGTTTAAAATGTGACGAAATGAACATAAAAATTCGCAGTGTCAGTCAAAAATTTCATGTCCGACCTGTCTGATTGACTCGATCCACCGTGCGGCGGCCCAAGTCCAAGCTCCAAGCACCAAGTTCAAAGAGCGAGCGTCGCGGCGCTGCGTTTGTCAGGGGTAACGACTTAACGACCTGCGGTCGCGACGGACCGAGCGGCGCTTTTCGTGCCCGCGGGGCAGACCCTTCTCCGCCGCGCTGACGTTGCCGCCTTGCAGGGAATCCCTACGTCTCTCGGTTGAAAATAGGCGTATTCGACGGTGATCTGGCAATTTGTGAGGGGTCTTTGTTTTTCACCCGAAGTCGGCGTCGTGCGACCGGTGCCCGCGGCTGTGGGACAATCCACGCGCCTCCCCTCCGCGCTCCACCCTCGCGCCGCGACGCGACGCCGCCATTCGATAGATTTGCCGTTTCAATCGTCCAAAAAACCGTAACCTCAATCTCTTCTCCTTCTTCTGTTGTTTTAGGGGCTTTTGAACTCAATCTCAAGAAAATAAACTCTGCGATTGTCTGTTTTAATTTTACTGAAGCGCGGCAAACCGCAAAACTATCAGCGAAATTCAAACGGGTTGATAAGATTTCGATTATTCTATCTCGATGTATCGAATGACGCAGCCACTAAATCAGTCTATAGCGCTAGGGTTACCAGAACTCTTTGTTTTCAAGCAATTTCTCCAATTCACTAACTAAAACAAAAACGGTAAAAAGCTCTACTTTTCTTCTCTTTCGTTCAAGTCTCCGAAATCCTCAGAAATATCCAGTCAGGGTGTCCACAGTTAAAAGGTCATTATAAGGCAGCGTGCTCTATGGGTTATACAAAGACTTTTTTCCTATATGAATTTTCTCAAATTAATTGAGAACTCATGGCTTTTCCCCTGAATTTTGACTATAAATGTGAATCGAAACTCAAGAAAAAAGGCTATTTTCCATAGTTCATCGCTCCTCTTACGGAAGAACGTAACTACGTTTCAATGTTGCCAAATTTGTTCTCGCAAACTTGATTTTCACCCGGAGATTCTTGGAAATTTCTGACTGAAAATTTCACTCATTTATCTGCTAAAAAATTTTGGACAAATATTAGACAAATTTTGGACGAAAATTGTACGGGTATATTCTTCTGACAAAGTGAATGGTTAATGTTAGTTTTGCAGTCTTGGAATTAAGATACGTTCTCTTGTTCCGGGAGCGACAAACTATCCCATAAAATCCATGGCAAAACCGCAGATCCGGTGCTATTAAGCAGTTTTACCAGTCTCTGTTTCGCATGGCAAAGTAAAAATGAACATTTCTGGGGGGAATAAAGCTCCGAGTACACCTGATAGTTATACCACAACCGAAGATATGAGGTGGCTGTTGAGACTTTGAGAGACGGTACAGAAGGCGCCACCATCGGATTACAAGAAAATAATTAACAGATGAAAACTTACTTTTTGCTCCGATGGCACTCGTATTCTTCGTTCCGACGAAGACCCACCAGGAGGACCTGAAACACACAAAACACAATTAGCATCGTTTGTTGCTACTCCTTGAAAACAATACAAATTGGTTCTCTAGATTTTCTTCAGAAAGAGAGACCCTCCGCTGGCCTCTTGGAGAGTGAAATCTTTTACTTTCGAGGATTCAACGTTTGATTAAGGACAATCATAAGGGAGCAACAGTCATCATACCTACTAGGTGGAGGTTGAGCTTAGAGTGCAGGAATGAACAGAATAAGTTCTTTAAACTTCGGTATGTTTGCAAAACGGGATACTCAACGCGTTGTTCAACATCCACCTAGTACAATGATAAAAATATTTGTACTCTGGTGATACTTTTGGTTAGTATAAGAAGTGAAACACAAACAACACAATTTTTGTATGCATTTTGGCACAGTTTGCGGTGAATTCAGCGCAAAAAACAATGAAGAAACTGGGAAAATGCATTCCTACAATTACAACGTTGGTATTTACCACTCGTTTTTCATTAAATTTCTTCAGAAAAACAAGATGGAATTTTCTTTTGATATTGTCAACCGAAGGCTAGGAGGGTTATTTTGTGTTTTACTTCCGGTATTAACCTAACTTTTGTGTTAAAATTTCTCTCTGTGTTAAAGCTTCCACCATTGTAAAGATAGCGAAAGAGGGTATCTTATCTCTGATTTTCTCTGACTGTCACCGTCTTGATCCCGCAAATCATGCGTTAAAATACTTTTTTGATACTTGTGATGTCACACTAGAACGTCAGCGACCAAAACAGGAAATCTATAGGTCTCACTGGACGAGTATTTTGCTGTAACAAAATAATTCTATTCCGTCATAAAATCACATCATGTAGTGCATGCTGAATCTCACATTCAGGAGCAAGGAATCCAACGAAATCGAAATCCGGCTGATTTTCTCGAGACGGTCGACATGAAATATCCCCCTCGACTTAGAGTACTTAAAGACTAAACGTTGAAAACCCATTTAAAATAACTCAACACCTAGACTGCGTTAATGTTGCCTAAGCCGAAACATTACCCTGCCTGAAAAGAGATCTCGGGGAGATTAGAGGTTGACCAGTTCGGAACGGACGAAAACAAGAATGCGGGGGGCATTTTCGAGATCGTACGTCAATTATGCAACGCGCTTTTTACGGGTCAAGCCCGAGCGATGACGCGTACGTAAATATTACCTTCTTGAGGGAAAACAACGTAAAATCATTAGGTTCCTCGATGCACTTGTGCGGTTTTATCACGGCAGGATAAGCGCGTGAATTTATGATTTTGACGTTGGCATAACGAACCCGAGATGAGTGTAAATTTTGAGAATCAGACGGGGAGCCGTCCTGCCACACCGTGGAAGAACATCGTATGAGCGTTTGAATGATGTCAATTTCATTCGATAAAGCAATATGTAGGAAATTTTAAGAGTATTTTCCCTTGAATTTCCATATACCCTGAATTGAACTGCAAATACAATTATTAAAAAGGATGAAGGGAAGCCTTTTCAAAAAGTAGTTCTTTCTTTACATGAATAGAGGACTGTGTCCAAGAAAAAGAAAAAAAAAAAAAACACTAAGAAATGGCCCGAACTGTATGTAACAAAGAGGTAAAATGGTGCTAGGTCCGCACACGGAAAAAATTAACTTGCTGATTTAACAATTAAATTGCTAAAAAAAGTGACTACAATATTTCAACGTAGATTTCACAACACAAAAATGCTACTTTAACCATTATTGCAAGCTAATTTAACCACGGGGGTGGATAAAGTAGCATTTTTGTGTTGTAAAATCTACGTTGAAATATTGCAGTCAATTTTTTTAGCAATTTAATTGTTAAATCAGCAAGTTAATTTTTTCCGTGCACCATTTTGTAGAAATAGTATAGAAAGTAGAAATAGTTTCTTTCAGTTATTCATGGTGACTTGCTGTATTTGACACCGCTGACGATGGGCAAAGTACAAAAATCTTCTTTTGATAAAATCAGCATATTTTTGGAGCACCTCGGTTATGAATATTATTCAAAAACTCTCCCGGAATGATTGATCAAACGTTCAACCACAGTCCAAAAATATGAACAAAAATGTCAACAAAATTTCGAAAAGTTAGTACTTTATCAAAAGAAATTCGACAACGTCCAAAAGTTCATAGGACGTTTTCGCCGAGCACAGTAGCGTTCGGTGGAACCGGTGGAATGCATCGGTGCATCGATAAATCGTCGGGAATAACATGAGCCAAGCGGCTGTCGCGGTTATGCCGTCGCGTCTAGTTATTCATAAAAAAAGAGGGAAACTAGTTTTAAATATTTCAACGATTCCCGAGATTCCCTTCGATGAGCAGAGCGTTTGGAGCCTGTGACGCGACGCTCGCCCCAAGTTCCCGTCTCGAGTTTAACGAACGTCGTAAATAAACTTACCGTTACCGGTTACATTGTAAACGCACTGCGCGTAATGGACGGTTTTGTTTAATCGAACCGAGATTAATTAGTTTTTAAACTCGGTCGTCGGAGCTGCACCACTGGCCGCAGCGTGAGGAGATATTGGTCGATTATACGTATCATAAACCCAGAGACAACATAATTTAGAAGCTAACCTATCGAATGAGAAGTTCTGCCCAAACTGGTAAATTGCGATTTTGCTGTCATAAAATTATGTTTCAATGATCGCAATCGTGTAACTTATGGATTACCCAGAAATAACGAGCACTGGAAAAAAAACACATCGGATCTAGAGTCCAGACTCTTGAAAACATTGAAAGGAAAAATACTCTTGATTCAATCGGATTTTTGCTTGAATCAAAACGAAATTCGCTTAGATTGAGAGGCTTGGTTCTTGATTTAAGCTAGATTCTAATTGAATCAAGACTGCTTTTTCTTGTGGATGTTTTTAAGAGTCTGGACTCTAGATCCAATGTGTTTTTTTCCAGTGAGCTCCATTTGGTCTCTAAGTTTCTGTTTCTGATAATAAGAGAGATATACTCCTCCAAAAAGCACGGTGATTGATATCGTACAATGCGATTGTTCAATGTTCATAGGATGGTTTCTTCCACCTCCGACTTATCAAGTTGGATGATGTGCGCATTTTTGATTCATCTGCGCGCATCACTGTTAAAAAGGTGAGACGAACCACAATAGTGCACACTTTCGTACTGGATGGCGTTAATTTATTATCGCGTCTTTTGGAGGGGAAATATCTTAATTACCTCTCGAAAGTATAATCGTGGAGTAAAAACTTGGCTATAGGGCAGATTTCATTATTTCTAGCTAATCTACGAGTTCAACCATGAAAATGAAATTCTGCAGATAGCAAAACTGACCCTTTGAAAAAATTCAATCAAGAATATTAAACCAAAGTGGCCGAGCAGAAAACGGGCCTGAAAATGTGAGTAGACACGGTTTGAATGGAGAGTTCGCTCACTTGAAGATCACTGCCATAAATGTTAATGAGAATCTTGCGATGATGAATTTTAGTTTGTAACTCGGCTCAATAGCTTTTCTCCTACGCAGGTCTTCGAGAGATTGAAACAACTGATAATGTTGTATCGAGTTAACCCCATCCTGATGGTAACTTAATCAGGATCGTTCGATAATGATCAAACTTGCGGTCAAATCAAACGCCTATATTATTCTCTCCGGGAGTGGCTGAAAACTTTCATCGCTCGTCGAACGATCACAAAGGTATCCACGCGATTATGGAAGAGAAAACATTTAAAGGAGAAACAAGTTGTAAAGTAACGAAATAAGATTGAGAAGGTGTTTCAGTTTCCCTCGCAAAAATGATTAAAACGTCTTATGGACAATTCTGAGCTATTCTAAGTGTAAACTTCACTGAAACTCAAGTTCAAAGATGACAGAAATGTCTTTAAGTTATTTTGCAAGATCCTTAGCATTTTCTGGAGATAAGCGAGTACAGCTCTGTAGAAGGATAGGGAGGGGGGGGACTCTTTGATTCCCTCGAGCAATCCACCTACGGCTCCAGGAACTGAAGGAATATTTAAGTGTGAATTAAAGCCGAGCTTAAGAAGAACGCCGTATGAACTTTCAGGCGTTGACAAATTTTTTTGGATAAAACACGAATTTCCTGGTAGGTAACCTTATGAACATTTTTCTTCCAATGGACCACTAGACAAGGTACGAATTTAAGCAATCTGATACATGTTTTTTAACCAGAATTTTACGTAAAACACGATTCTTACAACGAAAATTACTGAAACCAACTTTTAACGAAGATATGAACGTTTTTATTACACATTGGTTACGAGGAATTTGAACTGCCCGCTGACAAGAAACTCAAAGCTCTACGCGAGTCAAATCGCGCACTACAACGGTTTCAGCAATCTTCTCAATCGAGCAATGTTCATTTCCACTATATGTGTTGTTCAAACTATAAGCAATTTGCTATAGCTGAGTCGAAGCGTCAAGATTGAGGTTGCCAGATTTATATATCGCAGAGACTGTCATGATAAATGTTTAGCGCGCGATGTGAATCACGTAGAGCATTGAGTTTTTCATGAGCGGGTGGTTTGAATTCACGCATCAAAATTATTGAATACCTTCGTAAGGAGTTGATTTCGGTAATTTTCGTTGTAAGAATCGTGTTTTACGTAAAATTTTGGTTTAGAAACATGTATCAGAATGCTGAAATTCGTACCTTGTCTAGTGGTCCATTTTTCAGATAGTTTTTTTCGCAATTTAATCTACATCATCTAAAAATTCCATGGCAATGTATTCATAACTTTCCTCAAAAATAAAAATTGTATCGGGAAAAATTCGGCAACTCTCGAATGTTCGTACGGCGTTTTTCCTTAGCACGGTAGAGCATGCATGCACATTCCAATAGGCGCGAAAAACTCGTGAGCGTTCCATCGGTGCATTGAACTGCGGTCGGTGCGATGCAATTCCGGATAAATATTCAGTTTCGATCGGCGTAAGAATTTACGGCCGTTTCATTAGCGGGACGTGCTAAAATATCCGATTTAAATTGAATTGGACGTATCTATGCTGAAAGGAACTATGTCGCGTGCAAA